CTAGCATCTGTCAGACGCGCGGGCTCCCCAGCGTGCTACAACTTCTTCCGCTCCCGCCATAAAGGCTGGTAGACTGTTGTGTCTAGAGAGGGAAGGGGTATCTTTGCGCGGACCACACTCAGAAGCACTGTAGGCCAAGTCCTTCAGGAAGTTCAGAATCGGTATTCGATGCTAACTAACCAAGTAGAAAGGAGACGGTGTGCATGTGGTGAAGCGTATGCGGCTTTCTCAGAGGATTTCTACTTTCCAACGCGGTGGTTACCAGTAAGCCATAAGTAATCAAATGCAGGAGAAGGTCGAAAAACTTTGACATACCTCTTAAGAACTCAGTAGGGTTCATCTACCGGGGTTTTTAGCCCATTAGTCCTGCAGCCCTGACTCTGCCCCTTCTGACCACCATCTCACCTTGTTCCTCAGCACATCATCCGGGTAAACAATACGACTACAAAACTCCCTCAAAAAGGATTTAACTGTTGTTCTCGGGACGGAACGAAGCTTCTGAAGTCGAGGCAAAAATAATTTGCTTGATTATTGGTAACCAGTCACCGATAATGATGGCGCATACATTGTTTAACACTTCTTATTGAATAAGTTCGACAAGAGAAAGTATGAAAATGCCAGCCATCTTTGTAACTCCCTTATAGAATTGCTTTTACAGGTTCGAACTACGGTGGTGTTGATTCGGCTCCAGCTGACCTCTAAGCTTCTCTCTCAGTTATCCATTTCGTGGAACCCCCTCCCCTATAGTTAGCCCATTGGCCACTCTTCCCTCAGCTAGCACCAGCTACTGAAGAACAAGTAAGCAAATTAGTAGCGCAGTTGAGCTGGTGTAAAAACTCAACTATCAAAAGACACTAATTCTAGAGAGCCCGTGGCAAATGGAGCGGTTATGGCTACCACAACCCAGCAGTCTTACCTGAAAGAAGCAGTCCTTCAGTGCGCGACCATAATCTTCCAGCGAAACTCATCAGGGAGTCTTATTTGGGTCCTGGACAAGGATGGCCGTATTTGTTTGAGAGTGAGATTTTCCCGTTTCACAAGCTTTGTATGCTCTCCCCACCTCCCTTCGCCCCTGCTGACAGCAAACTTAGAGTAAGTTTGGTGAGGGGATAGCAGGTTTGTGAGAGTTAATAGCACATTAGGAGAGAATTTAGGAGGGGGGGGGGGGATAGGGGATGGGGGGGGGAGCATTCTGCCCACCTCCATAGTGTACCCTGGTTCCATCCCAGTATATCGCAAACTGGTTACAAACTCGCTTGGCTCACTACACATCGCACTCACTTGTATTCTGTGGTGCATCTCCAGGGACAGACTGCATGCGCGAGCCAAGACCAGATTCGCAAAAAGCGCCTCCGTGCAGGTGAATATATTTTGCTCTTGAGATTCGCAACGCAATAAGACCCGGACGGCGTCTCAAGAGGGGCGCTGAGGCTGGCGCGTTGCAAAGTCCGTTCCAGTCTAGCGGGCGACGCAGGCACTCGATCAACTATCAATAGCAGAAGAAATCTGCCCGCTGGTGGAACACGGAGAGGATGCTACCCTCCTGACACCAGCGCACCACAAGCACACACCCTGCTACCATCAGCATACGAATACCTCAAAGTGCGGCTTAACCTGTTCTCATGTGCCGATATGACCAGAAATATTGAAAATAACTTGAAAAAGGCTTTCTTATCCAATTTGCTATTTTGCGCAATCTAACCTCTTCCAATAAGCACTAGGTTACTGTAGGTCTACAGAAAAGCACAGAAGTGTACACCTACACCAAAGAAGATTTGAGGTATAAAAAATTGTTAGTTGTATGAAGTCAGCCGTTCCTATGAGCTAAAGGAGAGATAATGGCTTTCGCCGTATGCTATCTGATCTTAGAAGACAAATATCCGTGTTTGTATGCAAATAGAAACCACAATGAAAACGGCATCTAATGACGAAAAGAAAAATCCCTCTGTACAAAATCTCAGAAATCCAAGGGTGTGAATTCGTTTGATCTTTTAATCAATAGTGAGCAGTAACGTCTTCAATATAAAAAGCAATCTAACCCAAACCGCTTCTGTTACCTGTATTCAGCCGGCTGGTTTCCGGTTGCGATAATGAAGTATCCCATGGCGTCCGTTGACACATGTTCTCATATCCATCTTAACAAAACGGTAAAGTTATGGTTTTTCAAGAAGTAAAAGTGGAAGTAACAGGAGGGGGAAATTCTCAGTGTCACGAGATTCAGAAGAAGGTCAGCGGTTTCCTAATGACTTCAATCCCAGTGGCGTCCCAATGGCTAAAAGCTTTTGCGTTCACCTTACCTAAGGCCGTGGTGGTTTATAGAGGGCGACTAGCGGGCAGAAAAGTCAAAGTGTATACTCTAAAAAAGGCAATTCTAGAGTAAAAGTGTTTCCCATAACGCTAAATTGAACAATTGTCACTGAAACGTGAAAGGTACTGGATAGTGGCTGGCCCTGAGGTTAGGTGACCAGTGAAGCTTGTAGAAATGCACGATAAACTTCAGTCAAATGTGAAATCTCGGTGACACATGTCCCCATGTACTTATGGAGGTCTTGTACAGGCAGTACTACCGCTGTGAACTACATTTTTCGATGTTGAATGAACAAGATGGCGATTTTGGGCGCGACAATTACACTAACTAGATAAGTCAAAAAAAGGTGTTACTAGTAAGCCACGGCAATATGCTATGACTGGAGGCAGGGTATGAAGCGGGAGAGGAAGGAAACGAGGTTTCCGCCGGGTCAGGAAATAAGCTGCGGAAGCGCCGCTTCCGCTCTATTGTGGAACTCGGGCAATGGCCAAAAAAAGACGCTGACTGGTGTCCGGATTTCCGTAGGCGTCAACACTACATCATGTCGGCGAATCTATCTTCGTATGGGACCTAGTGAATTCGGGGATATGTTGATGAAATAGTTAGAACTTACTTATAGATGGGTACATAGCTTTCTGGAGGTGTCTGAGGTAGGTGGGGTGGCGTTGAGTGCTTAACGTTCGGAGCTCCCGCCCGCTTTAACCAAGCTACCGTAGTATCGGCATGGCAACCAGTGGCAATTAGAGCACACTTCCGATTGGCCGGCCACCTTCCGTAGATGTGGGATTCATCGTTAATGGGCAATTTTATTGAACATTCAAAACTGCATAATCATTCATAATCGGTCTAATACGTCTTCAATATTTCTCTTCAATATTACATCGAATTATAGCCATCTACCGAACGTAATCGCATACACGTCTACCTCCAAGGAATTACGAGAATGCGGCTAGAAGAAAGTATACGTATCGAAAGAGCCGCCAAATTGGGAGAAATACAGAACCTGCGCAAATGTCGAAATGAGGGACAAAGATTTGATAGGAATTGATCGCCTGCCTCGCCACAGGGAGGAGTGATTCTGCGGGATTTTGACCAGGGCATTTTTCCTGTCTCATGTGTACTATTTACTCTCCTTCTCCCCCGACAACAAACTTTGGGTAGAAGTAGGAAACTTTCAGAGAAAGTCCTGAGTAAATGGTAGAAAAAGAGAAGAAGGAGGAAGGAATTTCTGGGTAGAAGTAGTAAAGAAAGAGGAAGAGGAAGGAAGATAATAGAAGAAATGGTAGAGAGGGAGGGGGGGGGAGAGTTTGTATTCGCCTCCACAGCTCGATGAGGAGAGAACCAGGGAGAGGGTGGTACCAATCCCAGAAAAAGGAAGGGGGGGGGGGGGGGAGTCGTGCGGATCCGATCAAAATCTCCAACTAATGACGTGCCTGATTTCGACATTTCTGCAAATTCTGCATTTCTTCGAATCGATACCTATGCTTTCTTTTTTCGAGGAGTCCTACATTTCTGCCACTTCCGCGGTTCTTCAAATCGATACGTATACTTTCTTCTGACCGCAGTTTCGGTATTTCCTCGAAGTCGTTATGTATTAACACTAGCACTAACTTTATCATATCAACGAGGTTGTTAAACATAACATCAGACAATTCCAGCCTCACAAATACACGTATATTGAAGATCTCCGAAAATCGATCAATTCACTAAAGCACTCCCTACAAATTCCTCATAGTATAACCCAAAGCAAATGCGTAGACATTGCTGGCGATATCGAGTTCCTTTTCTAGCAACTGTATCGTCGTCAGCAGTTTTGACTCATCGATGAGAACCACCTCGACATTCTGGAAACCCTCATTTTGTTTATTGCACCAGACTGGCGAATAAGCAGTACTACTCCACTTTTCCTAACCTGGGGTAATTATTAGGAAACCATTTAGACCCACGGCTGTGATTGATCGTTTGCTAGCTCCATCGGGATCCTTACGTGCAGCCATTAGATGAAAAGAAAGCAACGGCTGTTCCAGCAATTTTGGAGCAATCGTTGGCCTGCACTAGACTGAATGTGAAGCCCCGAGCTTAATCGAGCTCCAAGCATGTTTTTGGGCAGCGATGTGAACTGTGATGAAGTGGACCAGATCCCAGTGAGCGTCTAATATCCACACAGGAACTTTAGGGAAGGGTGAGGATAGCGCTTTTGTTGCTTCCCGGCTAATGCCTTTAATTCTCCATGCCCTCTGGCAAGGGCTTACACATCCCAGCTTCAACTATTTTTTTTTTGCAAAATAGCTCCATCCTGACCAGTACCTGCCCACCGCTTACTGTAACCTGAGTGTTCTGCGCTATTGGTGTGATACTGATGCACTCTTGAACATTCTATGCACGTCAGCAGACCTTTATAAACTACACGTGCTGATTTTCTTTCCAAGTGCTCGGGTATGACATAGGAATCATCAATTTTGAAAAAAGCATCAAAGCCTTGCAGCCCCTGATTTTGTACCGGAGCCCCGATATGAGCCCATAACTGTTCGACGGTCCCGAGAAGTACCAAAGCCCACAGACCATAAGAGGAGCAATGAAAAGAAGAAGGCTGGAGTAAGTGCAAGGAATGATATGATTCTCTTATACTT